TGGGGGGCCTGAGGTCAACTAGGAGACAGGTGACGTTGTCTCTGCTGCGCCTTACATCGATGGCTTCGGTGATGAGTGCTTCAGCAGCTTGCTGCAGCATGCTGCTGCTGCAGCAGCACCCCTGCTGCTGCTCCCCCTGCTGCTCCCCCTGCTGCTGCTGGTGCTGTTGCTGCTGCTGCTGCTGCAGCAGCAGCAGCTTGCTGCGGACAAAGGAGACAGCCTCCTGGCTGCTCATGACGTCAAAAAGGCCGTCGCATGCAACCAAAACAAATTCATCATTTTGCTGCAGCAGCAGCGCGCGTACTTCTGGCTCAGCTATCACCAGCTGCTTGCTGCTGCTGCTGCTGCTGCTGCTGCTGCTGCTGCTTGCTGCTGCTGCTGCTGTCCAGCCGTACTTGTAGTGTCTGTCCCCCAGAGCTCTCGAGACGCCCAAACGCCCCAACACCCTTCTCTGTTTTATGTGGCCGCCAGCAGCTAGTATGCGTGCTGCTTCGTCCTGTCTGTAGGGTCGATGGTCTAGGGAGAGGTCAACTGCTGCTCCTCCCCTACAAAGACACGCTCTGCTGTCTCCGCAGTTAGCGCACAGCAGCAGAGACCCAGCAACAACAACAGCAACAGCAGCAGCACCACTTGCTGCTTGTTGCTGCTCAGAAAGAGACAAAAATAATCTATCGGTAGAGAGAAACGCTCTATATAGACACCGCGTGAGGTCCCTATACACCCCACAAGATAGATCTATGCTGCCGCAGCAACTATACACTGCTTGCTGCAGCTGCGCATGCAGCTGCTGCTGTGCATACACCGCACACGCCGCCCCTTTGTGCCCATCATATACACCATAAAAGGATACAGGAATAGCAGCAGCAGCAGCAGCACCAGCAGCAGCACCAGCAGCAGCAGCAGCAGCAGCAGGAGCAGGAGCAGCAGCAGCAGCAGCAGCAGGAGGAGACAAACAAAATAAACTATCTATTATTGTTTCTCTGTCTTCTAGTGCTGCTCTGTATCCCTGTCGTGTTGCTGCTGCAGCAGCAAACACAGACACACACCAGCAGCAACCACCCACCCATACACTGTCTCCGCTTCGGCCTCTCTCCCCGGACCACAGCGGCAGCTGCAGCAGCACAGCCCCCTTTCTCCTGCTGCTGCTGCTGCTGCTGCTGCTGCTGCTGCTGTTGCTGCTGGTGGTGGTGGTGCTGCTGGTGTTGCTGCTCTTGCGGGCTACGACGTAATTCACTTCTGGTGTTAAGCTGCTGCTGCTGCTGCTGCTGCTGCTGCTGCCAGCTGCTGCTGCAACTGTAGAACTCCAACATCTACGTATAGGGTTCTGCTGCTGCTGCTGCTGTTGCTGCTGCTGCTGCTGCTGCTGCTGCTGCAGCAAACGGATCTGATAAACACCGTTGACGAAGCCAATAAAAAAAGGAGGGAAATCCCCGGAAATACAAATGCAGGAGCCATGCTGCTGCTGCTGCTGCTGCTGCTGTTGCTGCTGCTGCTGCTGCTGCTGCAGCTGCTGCTGCAGTTGCTGCTGTTGTTGCTGCTGCAGCTGCTGCTGCAGCTGCCGCGTTTGCTGCATCCGCACAGCCCAAGACTTCCTGCTGCTTCCTTTTGCTGCTGACCCCTCCTCATCGCTGCTGCTGTCGCTGCCGCTGCTGCTGCTGCTGCTGCTGCTGCTGTTGCTGCTGCTGCAGCTGTCAATCCCCACACGCCGCCTCAATTCGCGGACGCCAAGAGAAGCCCAACGCAGCTGCTGCTTGCTGCAGCTGCTGCTGCTGCTGCTGCAGCTGCTGCTGCTGCTGGCGTTGCTGCTGGTGCTGCAGCTACTCTCACCCTTTCTGTAGGTGTTGCAGAGGAATTTGCTGCCAGCTGCTGCTGCTGTTGCTGCAGCTGCTGCTGTTGCTGCAGTTGCTGCTGTTGCTGCTGTTGCTGCAGTTGCTGCTGTTGCTGGTGCTGCTGCATCACCAAACTCCCCTGCCATGTGCACAGTTCGGCAGAACTGCTGCTGCTGCTGCTGCTGCTGCTGCTGCTGGTGTTGCTGCTGGTGTTGCTGCTGGTGTTGCGGCTGGTGTTGTTGCTGCTGCTGCTGCTGGTGTTGCTGCTGCTGCTGCTGCTGCTTGTCCGGCAGCACGCGTCCGGCTTGAACAACTGCTGAGAAACTCCTCGTCAGCCACCGTCGTTGCGGCTGCTGCTGCTGCTGCTGCTGTTGCTGCTGCTGCTGCTGCTGTTGCAGCTGCTGCTGCTGCTGCTGCTGTTGCTGCTGCTGCTGCTTCTGTTGCTGCTGCTGCTGCTGCTGCTGTTGCTGTTGCTGCTGCTGCTGCTGTTGCTGCCGCTGCTCTTTAGTATGCTGCAGCAGCTTCATGTCAGCAGCAACTGCAGGGGAGGAGAGAAAAACGGTTGGCTGCTTTGGCTCTGCAGCAGCTGTTGCTGCTGCTTCTGTCGGTGCTGCTGCTGTTGCTGCTGCTGCTGCTGCTGCTGCTGCTGCTGCTGCTGCTGCGGCGGATGGGGACGCTGCTGCTCCCAGCGGAGAAGGCCCGGAAGCAGCAGCATTCAAAAAACCAGAGGCCCGTGGCTGAGACTCTGCTGCTGCTGCAGTTCCTGCTGCAGTTGCTGCTGCACTTTCTGCTGCTGCTGCTGCTGCAGTTCCTGCTGCTGTTTCTGTAACTGTTGCTGCTGCTGTTGCTGCTGTAGTTTCTGCTGCATTCTCTGCTGCAGTCGCTGTAGTTGCTGCTGTGGTGTCTGCTGCAGTTGCTGCTGCAGTTGCTGCTGCAGCTGCTGCTGGGTTTGCTGCTGTAGCTGCAGCAGGCGGAATTTGATCTGTGTCTGCTGCAGCAGCAGTTGCTGCTGTTGCTGCTGCTGCTGCTGCAGCAGCAAGTGCGGTGGTGGGGTGGGGCTTCTCGGCACGCGCAGCAGCAAGGAGAGATGGCCACGCACCTTCTGCTGCAGTTGTTGCTGCTGCTGCTGCTGCTGCTGCCGCAGCTGGCTCTGCTGCTGCTGCTGCTGGCTCTGCTGCTGCTGCTGCTGCCTCTGCTGCCTGACCATCTACTGCAGCAGGAAGAGGAGAGCAGACAGATACGTGGCTCGGCAGGGGAGATACATCAGCAGCAGCAGCTGCTGCTCCTGTTGCAGGCTCGCTTGCTGCAGCTGTTACTATCTGGTCTGCTGCTGA